CAACTTATTTCATCAGTTGATTAAAATATGTATCGCAATGCTAGACGAAGAATATTTAAGAATATCTTAGCTCGGAACTACTTTTAAAAAGGGCTGCCACCTGTTTAAAAAGTCGAATGTAACTATATCTATATATATACGCGAAAGGACTTTTTGTCCAGGTCATCAGATCTGTACCATTCGTTTGATTTTTAAAAATGAGGTATCAAATTAAAGGGCTTGATTTGTAGATGTGCAGTAGGCTTTTACTTTTCCGGGAAGAATGGCTACCTTTTAAAAAATTAAGTTGAGATTATTTATAAATCAATACCATCATATCCCCATCCCTCGCTCGATTTTCAAAAATAAGGTTTCAAATTAAAAGGCTTGGTTGCAGATGTGCAATGAGGGTTTACTTTTTGAAAAGAGTTGTCATAGCTATCAGTCGAAATGGTTATTAAAAGCTTTGCTTCTTAACTGTGAGAGTGTTGCCCCTGTTTGAAAAATCAAACTAAATTTTATACAGGGAAATTACATAGGAAATTTACAAAATGTTTCCCAACAGGGGTCCAGACTAAAGGAATTTAAAAAGGTAGTAATTTGAAAATGTTGTGAAAAGGGTTGCCACCTGCATTAAAAGCCGAATTTAGTTATATGCAGTATTAAAATTGGGTGTTAAACGAAAGAATGCTAAGAAATCTTCAGTTTAAACATCACAATTTTGTTTGATGGTTGGAAGAGAGTTGAGAGTTTAAATTTAAATTAATTATTAAGTTTAATAAATTAAGTTAATAAATAAGTTAAGTTAAATAAATTCTACAAGAGGTGATTTAATCGTTCATGGGTTTGAGAAGGATTTATATCTGAACTGTTTAGGAGAGTTGCCAGGTGATAAAAAAATTAAATTCAATTTAATTCTTCGGGTAATTGAATTATTTATCAAAGTATCAGACGAAAGAGCTTTAAACGATTTCAGTTTGCAAATGCTTCGCAGAAGGTTGCCACCTGTTTGAAAAGCCTAATTTATTTAGCTTTTACACAATTTTAATGAAATATTAAAATATAAGTGGAAAAAGAAAGAGTTTTAATTAAACTTTAGTTTGAAAATATTTTTTGTTAGGGTTGCCGTCTATTCGATTTTTATTTTGAGCGATAAAGTTCGGTAATTGTGTTATCAGCTGTCTCGATGAAGTCAATTGGCCCCCTCGGAGCCGCGATTTCACGCCCTTAGACTTTTTGTGCCATGCCGTGAAGGACCGATATAATGCGAACAATCTATTAACTATTCAGGCCTTTAAGGCGTATGTTGGGCATTTCTTACGATAGATCGAGAAACCATCAACAAGGTAATGTTAATATATGTTCTTTCGAATAAACCCATTATATACCGAAAAAATTAGTTTAAGTTGATTTTTATAAATAAATAATTAATTTGTTATGCTCATCGGATCTTTAATGTGAAGGTCATCAGATCAGCACCGACTTTAAACATATGACTCGAATTATACTATCCCATATAAAATAACAGCCCAGCGAATCAACACTTGCTTCTATATTTAAACGACGCCAATTCAAAATTATTGTAGCGTTCGCAATAACAATAAATAAGTCTCAAGGTCAGACCCTAGCAAGAGGATTGCTTAACGCATGGCGTATTGAGTACAGTTGGTCTTGCCCAATTGCCAAGTTAAAGTTAACTACCAAAAGAAATGCATGTGGTTTTTAGAGTAAATAAATATGCAGACTTTTTAGACCACGGAGCACCCCGATTTTCGGGGATTTTACAGTTTTAATTAAAATAAATCATTTAATTGTTGAGAAAAGAAGCATTTCAAATGTCGATGAAATAATAGCTGATTTTTTTTTTAAGCGAGCGACAAAAGAGCGCTCAACTCGGGTAAAATGTCCTTTTAGCTACTTAAGCAATTCTGCTGGTAGCTGGCAATAAACATGTGATTAGTTCAACGAAATTTAGACACAAAAAACAATAGAAATTAGTAATTATGCGAGGTATTTGCGTAATATATATAATAATAACAATAGATTGGCGCTTATACATATGTTAGTGTTTGGCCGAGCTTTTCCTCCGATATGTGGCGTGCGCATTGATGTTGTCATTTTTATGAGAAGCTGTTTTTCATGGCAGAAATACACTCGGAGGTTTGCCATTGCCTGCCGAGGGACGACCGCTGTTAAAAAAAAAAAACATTTTCTATATTTTTTTTGCGATGTTGCTTTTACCAGGGCTGGAACCCAGGTGCTGATGAGTGAAAGCACGCACTGCTTACCACACCACAGCGGCCGACGCGTAATATATATACTTATTTAAAATATAAATCATGCATATACTACTCTTCAGGTCGCATATATTTCAACCGACCTGTAGCTCGGTTGCAAATGAATGGACCTTATATATGTACATTAGACTGCATCGCTCCCATACATAATACAGTCAAATTCTTAAGTTTGTGAGCCACATACAAAATCAAAGACTTTCTTTTAAGATTGATAATCCTAAAAGTAAAGTTATATCAAAACGATCTAATTTTTTTAATTTCGATGATGATGGTAAATGAATTCCTTGAACATATGTGGTTGTGTTTAATGCAAAAGAGTTTTTGTATTTCCGATGATGAAGATGATTCGAGTATTGAGCAGGGTTCTCCTAATAAAAATGATATAAGGAATCTTATTCAAAGTCAAATTTACAGTTATTTAAGTGATTCAAAGACGGGAGTAGAAGTTTGGAAATTCTATGAATTATTAAAAGAGACTGCCATACTATTCAATACTCCATTAACATCATCAGGCCCTGTCGAAATGATTTTTTCTTCTGCGGGAACTATAAATACACCCAGGCGCCATTCCTTAACCGACTTTTCTTTCGAAAACTTGGTATTATTAAAAGCTAATGCTAATTTGTAATTCCAGTGAATATGTTTGTTTAATTTTTGTTTGTATAAGTAGACGTTATTACGTAAGGTATTATGTATATAATATCTATATATGTATGTATTATGTTCTTTGTTACAATATTATCGTTTCTTGCAGTTTGTTTAAGTTGTATTGAAAGAAGAAAGAATATTTATGTTCACAGAATATAATGTACATATAATAATAATAATAATAGATTGGCGCTTACACATATGTTAGTGTTTGGCCGAGCTTCTCCTCCGATTTGTGTCGTGCGCCTTGATGTTGTCACACAAAGCGGAGGGACCTACAGTTTTACGCCGACTCCGAACGGCGATTGTATTTTTATGAGAAGCTGTTTTTCATGGCAGAAATACACTCGGAGGTTTGCCATTGCCTGCCGAGGGACGACCGCTGTTAAGAAAAAACCTTTTTTCTATATTTTTGCGATGTTGCTTTGACCAGGGTTTGAACCCAGGCATTGTGGAGTGGAAGCGCGCACTGCTTACCACTACACCACAGCGGCCGAGCTTACCACTACACCACAGCGGCCGAGCGATAATGTACATAATTATAAATAATCAAAAATAATAAAAAAAATCAATTTTATTGTAAAACTAATCCCATTAGTTTTATTGATTATTTTTGATTTTTTTCTTCCAATTGGCTAAAAATACCATTATTTTTTATTATTTTTAATGGTAATCGGTAATTATTAATTTAAAGGTGGAACTAATGGTAATTAATCATTTAGCAGATTTAACAAAAAGAATTAATTAAATCGGTAATCATTACAATTTATAATCATTACTTGACAGCTCTGATGTAAGTTAACTACATACATATGTATGTACGCTGTAAGACGATTGTACATGACATTAAAATTTTTGTAACTTCTTTCTAGACTTCAGCAGGGATCAAACCCGTATTATGGATGTGCAAAATCAGAAGCGCTAACCCCTGAGCATATTCACATCCCGTTAACTCTTGTATCTAATTCATTTCCTTATTCAACCTACTACTACCAAGTGCAGCTGTTTTGCCGCTATTTAAACTTGACAGCATGGTTGTTATTGTTGATTCCATATATGAAATAGATCCATAGTATAGTTTCAGGCACACTCATCCCAAACTATTTATTTTTTAATTTTATTGTGGCTTATTAATATTTGTTTCAATAACGTTATTGAGCTTTGTACCACGATTTTTTATTAGGAAAAATTTAAAAGGCAACAAAGTCTAAGCGGTAGAGGTTATACCAGCTATTTCTGAGATCACCACATCTCCTCATCAGACTTCTTTTTTCTAGACTTCAGCGGGGACCGAGCCCTCATTATCGATGTACAAAGTCAGAAGCGCTATCCTCTGAGCTATGCACACCCCGTAAACTCTTGTTGCTAATTCATATCCTCATTCAACGTACTACTATGTATCACGTGAAGCTGATTTGCCGCTATTTAAACTTGACAGCATGGTTGTATTGTTAATTCCATACATGAAATAGATCCATAGTATAGTTTTAGGCTACCGCTTAGACTTTGTTGCTTTTTCCATTTTTCTTAATAAACAATCGTGGTATAAAGCTCAATAACACTATTGAAATAAATATTAATTAGCCACAATAGAATTGACAAATTAATAGTTTGTGATGGGCCTTCCTATGTCATGTATGGAATTAAGAATAACAACCATGCTGTGAAGTGTAAATTGCGGTAAATCAGCTTCACTTGATAGCAGTAGGTTGAATAAGGAAATGAATTAGCAACAAGCGTTTACGGGGTGTGCATAGCTCAGGGGTTAGCGCTTGGGACTTTGCACATCGATATGCGGGTACGATATCTGCTGAGGTCTAAAAAAAAAAGTCTGATGAGAAGATGTGGTGAGATCCGAAATAACTGCTATAACTTCTACCGCTTCCACTTTGTTGCTTTTTCCATTTCTTCTGATAAACAATCGTGGTACAAAGCTCAATAATAAAGGTTTTTGTTCCCGTTTATTTATCAATTATTTTCCTTTTACCTATACCAACCCATGGCACAAGACTATTTAGCATTATCCACATCGCCTTAAAAGTATTCAGAAGAAGCACATTGCACTAACTGAAATTTTTTCGCCTGCAGGTTCGCCTATAATATACTATTTATTTACTTGCGCCGGCAGCTACAGTGTTTAGAGCACCTTTATATCAAGACGCCTGCACCATCTAGGGAATTCATTTATATTTTAAATTGCATTGTCATCGTGATCGGAACTATGCTGAAAATTTCAAGTCTCTAGCTTGTCGAAAGTTAGTTTAAAATCGATTGGAAATTTGCGCGGGATGAGTAACTTAAATAACAGCTTGTAAAAAATCCTCAGCTTATAGAACCCGTTAAAAAAATTTGAAGCGAATCGTAGGTATGACATAATATTTTAACAAAATCCGTCTGACTTAAAAAATAATGCCGCCTCATATGTAAGGGCGCTAGGGATAAATCTTCTTATTTAAAGAGTTAATATTGTACCTATATATTCAGAAGCACTTTTGTGTTTATTTTTTAAGCATAGAAATTGAACGAGTTTTTTTTTTTCAGGAAGATGATTTGATTGCTACAGTGGAGGAAAGCTCGTTTGTTCAACGGCGGTATGCGAAGTATTTCGACATGGTTATTGTAAATGAGAACTTTGACAGTACCTTTCAACAAGTGGTAAAAGTACTAGACCAAATGAGCCATGAAGAGCAGTGGGTACCGGTCGATTGGATATATTAAAATCCATTAGCTATTTACTTTTTAAACATTTCCCCTCTAATAAAATTGCAATTGCATACAAGCTATTCATTGGTTAAACTATTTTAAATGCACCGATAATATGCATATATATTTCGTAGAACTTTAGCTTAACGTTACCTTAATTCACAAAGGCCATAACCTACAAATTTTTTAGGAGAGCTACAGGAGAAGCCAAAAACAGTATCAAAAGAGTGTCAAAAACAGGTAGGGATTTTTAAAAAGTGGCATTTATCTCCGTTGTTTTTGGTACTAACACTTTAAAATTTTCCTTCCAAAATCTGTGCAAAACGCAGTTTCGAAAAATCTGTTTATTAGGGCCTTTGTGTATTAAGGTACCGATATAATTGTTTATAATAATCAGCATGTGTTCGAATTTCCAGCGCTGGTTACTTACATATATGCGTACCTATAAGGAGTGCGTCACGTTTTTGTTTATAACTTCTTTCTTGTTTTAAGTTTGTTCAAACATAATTTGGTTGTAATCGTTCTTAGGGAATGAAAAAAAAAATATCTGTAGAAAATTAAATGTTTTTAAGGATGAATAATGGAAACTATCAGGAACTCCTGTCGAAGTTGGAGCCTTCAATACAAAATATGGATACCTTCATGAGTGACGCGATTACATCCCATCAGCGGCAATCGGCTACTCTTAAGAATTTTGTCATCCGGCGAAAGTTTCAAAGATTTGAAAATTTTGACAGCGATATCTCCAAAAAGCCTAAGCCGTTAATATTGCATTAGATCTTGTAAAGCAATGCTGGGCACACTAACACAGTGTGATTTTGTCGTGGTATTAGTGCGTCGCGCTCATTTATGGTTGCCACATTTTATATAAATGTTCTAATGTCTATTTGCTTATACGTATAGTAGAATAGTGAATCTTGGAAGTTTAAGCTACTAATACTATAAGTTTATAGAAACTTTTACATACAAAAAATTTAGTACTTGTAAAATTTAAATTGGTAACAAATTTGTTTAATACCTGGGCACCGTTTTGTTAGAATCAAATCTTTAAAATGCTGGCCGGCCAGATCGTTACGGTGTTTAGATTTTATTATTTTCATATAAATAAGTGTTTAGTCCTAAAAATAGAGTACAACTTAAAAATATTATTCATTAAGTATTTTTGGGCATTTGCATTTCTCTATCGATTTAAAGAAAAAAAAATTCGAAACTAAAGTATGCAAATTGTGCCCTTTTTATAGAAATTTTAAATTATGTAGTGAACGTTAATCAGCAAGCGGCCCATTTTATATTATAAATTCACACGGCATGAAAAATTCGGTTTCTTATATTAAAAATACGTAGGACATTGTGGGGTTTTTGTAAATTTCCTCCGAAAAATGTGGCACGCGTGTGCTAAGATTACGAAGAAAAACAATCAACAGCCGAGCGTGATGTTATCTTGGTGAAATCTGCAAGTAGACTGAATCGAAATTCGCTGCTTTGCTTCTGTATACGTATACGAACTGCAGTGCTGGCGTTGCTCGCGAGCAAAAATTGTCCACCTTTGTTGTAAAGCCATAATAAAAACATTATTCACTGATATTGTGTATCTGAAAATGGTTCGTCAAAAGACTGCGCTGACCCGGAATTCTTTGATTGAATAAACTCTGGTTATTCTGCGAACACTGACTGCGAATATTCCTTTCGTGGTATGGTGTTTTTTTTATTCAAGTATTTCGGGCGTTTTTGTGAGATCTGTGGAAGAAAAGTATGGAACAGACGACGATGAACTATATGGAGTAGAGGGAGGAGCGAGATATTCGGTTCGTTCAGAAGGCGCAGCAGTTGAGCGCAACCGTTGTTAAAAAAAAAAATCAGAGATTACTGAGCTACATTACGTGCCTTTTGAATGGCTTGATAAATTAGCTGTGAAAGGTACACACAACATGTTTTCTCAGATGATCAGAAAAATATTAAATATCATCTAAAACTCAACTGTTGAGTATATCATAAGTACATAACAGAGACAGGCTTGCGTTGAACGCCAACTATTGCTATTTCTTTATTTATTTTCTTCAATAACATAGCTATTTGCCCCCACCTTTATTATTTCTCGCTAATGTTTACACCGCGAAGAATAATAGAGTTACTCAGTGAATTTTAGATCGCGTTAAAACGTCTGTACTGACCATTCATCCACTTCACACTTCCAATGGAATAATTGGCCGTGTAAGCGTTGCAAACCCTCGACTTTTATGAAGCAATTGGATCGTGTATACTTTGCAATATGTCGACTTTCGCGCTTTCTCGCGGTTTTCGCCGGCACTTAAGTTACCAAAAAGCACCGGGCGACTCATATGAGGCATAAACGTAGAGGAAAAAATTTCGGAGCAAAACTTAACTCGGTATCGGGTTTCGATACGAGTACTTTTCTTCGATACCTATTCAGTACTTGGCTCTAAATTATCGATGCCAAAATTACTTGGTATCGAACGAAAGGTATCGAGTATGTACTTGTATTTACTCGTATCGTTTCATCTCTACTCTAGTGTTGGAAAACTATCGATAGTCGGCACTATCGATACTTAACGATAGTCTGAAATTAACTATCGATAGTTTCCGATAGTTTTTTTAAGCTAACCGAGTTATGCTAATATATGAATATGGCACATATTTATGTGGAATATTATAGTTAGAATGATATAGCTGACAAAAAATTTTCTGACCAATAAATAGTTGTATTAAAAGAAAACTATAGAAATTCATTTTACAAACATTTTTTAGTAATGTAAGAAAGAAGGATCTATAAAAAATAAAGCGGTCTTTTACTAAAAAGTTCATTGCACCTTCGTGATGCTACATATTATAGTAAAAGAAAAGTAAAAGCGCTTGCTCCGGGCTATTACCGTTACGATTCTGGTAAAGCATTTAAGGTGCACCTCAACTTTTTTTGAAATGCCAGTTAAGCTGCTCTAGCGCTCAAGGCCTCATATAATAACTGGATACATTCACATACTTATATAAATACATTTTTATTCAATCTCCGAATACGTACATGTATAAAGAAGAATATAAAAAAAATAACAACACATAAATTTTATTGCAACGCACGCGTTTAAAAATATACTTTTCATAAAAACGCGCTTTTAGCTATTGTGTTATGAACGGGATCTTAGCCGCAGAACAAAAAAAAATTATTTAAAAATTCGGCTTAAGTGCATATACCGAAGCGCTAAAGCGCCCAAATACATCGCAGTAATTGCTGTTCATATCCTCTACATATGAATCAAAGATCTATCAATAAGTATTGAAAGTGTGGCATATTTCGTGATATCAATCACATGCATTTCGAACAAATTAGATGTGGCATTACCATACATATAATAAAAATTGTAGATGATTTTTAATAAAATAACATTAAGATAAGATTTCCAAGCTTCATCAATTGGACTTTAAACTTCTCGACACAAAAACATGCCAATAGTGACGCGATAAATATTGAACATTCCCGCGCTATCAATCACATTTTTGAAATCAATCAATATGGATCACGATCCAAATATCACAATAAATATTGAACGTGTGACAGGCGCCCTACACTGATAACACTGTGAGACAAATGGTAGGGGTCAGTGATCGGGAAGGGTTCAAACTACCGGGGAAAGTTATATCGGTAAAAAAGAAGTTATACGCGTCCCGGTGTTTCGCTGGGTCACGTCTAGGAATCGAGATATATCGATTTGAAGTTAGTAACTATCATATAGGGGAAATTGTCACCTTTGGTGGTCTTTTTTTTGACATAACTCGAGAACCACTAGTCCGATTTTGCTCAAACAAATTTAAAAAAATTACAACAAATTACAATTTCTTTAATCTGTTCATATAACGTTTTTCTATATAATCAACAGTTTTGCCGGTAAAAATAAATGTATGAAGAAAAATATTTTTCTGTTGAGTATATAGAAAAAAGTTATATTAACAAAATCGGACTAGTGGTTCTCGAGTTATGTCAAAAAAAAAGACCACCAAAGGTGACTAACTTCAAATCGATATATCTCGATTCCTAGACGTGACCCAGCGAAACGCCGGGCCACGTATAACTTGTTTTTGACCGATATAACATTTCCCGTTGGTTTCATCCCATCCTGATTTTGACTGTGGCATAGTGTAATTAACGAGTAGACTGCCCAGCGATAATTTTCTTCGATATGTGGTTAGTAATTTTTGCTAAGCGCTGTGTTGCCTGATCAACGCAATTGTTTCTAGTATCGATAGTGCCATCGATAGTTTTCCACCACTACTCTACTCTCGAATAGGGAAAAATACGGTGTGTGTAAATAAAATAATGGCTGCCGATTGGCAATCGGTATTCAGCAGTGCTGCCATTAACAATATTGAGGGATTTTTGAGCAGCCACACGTCACACTACGGCAACCCTTTGCGCTTTGTTTACATTTCTTTTTCGGACAGCTGAAACATATTGCAACTTGAACACATATTGGTAAGTATGAAAATTCAGTAAATAAATACAATGGCCAGTAGTCATAGAGAAGTTAGAAAAAAGTTTTAACGATTAAAATTGTGTTTTATTGTCATCGCCATTTGAACTCTTTCATAGTCAACTTAAAATGCATTTTATGGCAGAAACAGAATTTTAACTTTAAGATGAGGAGAACGCGGTTTTGAAATGGTAAAATAAGGTTCTAAGTTTTGTTTTGTTGTTGAAATAGTAAACGCAATAGCACCCAGGTTCGGTCCCCACTCCGAGCGATTCCAAAATTTGTTTTTTTTATTTTAGTATAAACATTTTATTTTAGTTTATTAAATTTTGTTTTATTATCTTTCTTTTGTTTATGGTATTTCATATAATTATTTCGTTATTAATAAAATTTTTTGGGGTTTAACTTAAATTAAAAAGGCCACAATAACTATAATTAAATAACAAAAATTCAAATAATATTTAAATGACTAAAAACTATGTAAAAAGAATGTTCCCTGGCAGTGGGATTCGAACCCACGACTTCCCGGATTGCTAAATCCGCAATCCAGCAGCGGGCACAGGGTGAACTAATTAAAGTACTCATATTTCTATATATTA